CCCCAAAACCCCAAAACCCCAAAACCCCTTCTGTGAATATTAAAATTTAATATTATATAAAATCTATTTCTGCTAATTTCTATCAAATTATATATTTAGCCATAATAATGATCACAGTATATTCAATTATAAATCACTGTCAAAATACCTCCTCTTAATCTCTCTATAAGTATCTATTCTGATTTACATAGCATCAAAGTTAAATATACCTGGTTTGTTAAATTGATCTTCATTTTTCATTTCAAAAAGCGCTATTGCACCCCATTGAAAGCAATTTAGTAATTAGCAAATGTTAACTTCCCTTTTTAACTTTTGTACTTATTCCTCAAAATCTACCATAGGAATTTGCCTATACTAGATAGAAGCATGGTTTTCATAGTAAATTTTTAAATAGCTTCTAATCATTTCCTATTGTTCATCATCTTCCATATAATTTTCAATGTAACTTCTTACCCCGCTACCACACTTGTAAGTATTTTCAAAGACTGTCTCATTTATATAATTGGCTAAGTCCATCGATCTAGGTGCAAAAGTAGCATATTCATAATCAATCACATAGAAGTTCAAGTTATTTTCATCTTTAGCCAGGATGTTACACTCTTAAATATCATTGTGTGTCAAAACATAACTAATAGACTCACCTAGCTGATTCAAAGTGTTAATGTATCTCTCCACTATATCAACAGGTAAAAATATTTCCTCAAATTATATTAGTATCTCGAGTCTATTATCAACTGGCTAGTGCGTTTGAAGGTAATTTTTAATTGCTAAAACTTAATCTCGTAGTTGCTTTGAATACTATTCAATGTACTTTTTAGGATCTATGTTTTCTTAATTTTTCCCAAGGTGTTCATCAGCTATTTATCTAAGAGAAAAATCATAATGGAGATTGCATAAAAATTCTGCAACTTTATTGTAAATTGTCCTATTTCTTAGTTCAAATACTGTTAATTATCTTCCAGATATGTACTCTTCAATTCTATACTCTGTACCCTAGTAGATCAGCTTTGGTACCTTTCCTTGATTAGATAAGTGACTAAAAATATCAATCTCAAGTGCCCTATTTACATAAGGGTTTTCATGGAAGAATTTTAGGAATATAGTCTTAGGTTCAATGTTTTTGCAGTTTTATCTAGATTACATCTAGTCATTATTCCTATTTACTCTAACTCTAAATGAAGTATTTGAGAGTCCTTTAAGCTTTTTGATTTATATCTCAGATACTGTGAGATCTGACCAAGATGTAATATGAGTTTTGAGTGTTTCTAAAATTTTATCAAAAGAATATTCTGATAAGTCCATTTTAAAAATTAAATTTTTAATGAGTTTTTTCAATAAAATTATTATCAAATTAGCTTATAATAAAAGAA